CGTTCTCTCGCCTAAGAGAACAGACATTCCATTTCCCACATACACATCAAAACAACACAGAGACATGCACGCCACCAACAAATCAACTAATGTGCTGTAATTACATGTTACCGCTTTGAAGTGCCTAGTATTTGCTGACCGTGCATATTTACCCTTACTATTCAAAGAACATTAAAGAGCATCTAAAATAAAACTCAGGAGGACATGTTGGAGTGTAAAGGCCTGTCCTGTTTGACTGAAGTTCAAAGTGCTGTTTTGAAGGCTTTAAAGGGCTTTCTCTCTGTATCCCGTCTGAATACGTGTTGAGTAAAAGTGAATTGAGAGCTGAAAAGAAGATCCCAGCCCCATGCGTGGATTTCCCAGGACACTGTTAATGTGACATTAAAGGCAATTACTGAACGCAGTGCCAAGGTGTGCGCTCTCCTTCCCTCTCTCTGGGCTTTGTGCCACGTGCATATTTCATTTCGGCCTTTGTGAAAGTGTGTGTGGGCCGCTGTAGGCGGGAACGCCTCCCAGAAACCATTGTGTCCGGTGCGGGATGCAGCGCAGGTGGCATGTCAGTGATTCGAGGGGGTTTTTACAACAGATAGGGGCCTTTTGTGCTGAGTGTGATTGAGCTATCGCGTTTAAAAGTGTGAGAGGAAACAAGACGAGGGCGATGAAGATGACACAAAGGCCTCCACCGAAGCAGATGGGTGGTGTCTGATCTGGCCGTTTGTCTCCTGTGACATACTTCTGCGCCAGCTCTCAGGCGCAAGGTGATCCCTTGCCTTTTTTACTTCTTCCTGTTCATGTCACTGGGCCGCTCAGATTACAGCATTAGGCTTGTGTGGGCGTCCACAGCCAGGGCTGGCGTCCCAGTGCCAACAAACTACTCTTCAGGTGTGCAACTGATCCATTTAACACCTCTACCCTTAAGGGGGTGTGTGGGATGGTAATTGAACCAAATTAAGAGATGGTACCTGTTGCATCGTGACGCTATATGTCCAGCCTTTGTCATTTCCGGCGCTCAGTCTGTGCATATGCTGAGACCGTGACAAAAGAGATCAGTTTCATGCTCTTCAGCTGTATGACTAAGTGCATTAATCAAATTACCTCTTCCTTTTCTCATTCATCAGTTCCTACCAGCTTCATCTGGAAGATCAAAGGCTGGTGTCCGACACTATAATACATCCCACCCATGTTAATCAAAATTTAACAGACGTTATTTATTATTTATCCATCTAAATCATTATTTATTTACCTATTTATCTCATGAGAATCTTACGTTTTGGACACATACAAACATTACATAATTTCAGCTTGGTGTTGTAAAGTCAAGTCAAATAATGAAAAGTGCTATACAAATTGATTTATATACAGTAGCGCTTTTCATAATATGCATCGTTTCAAAGTGTGGTTTGGACTTCTGAAATGGAAATTAATGTTGCATTTGCATCTGATGTTTTCATCAACACCATTTATCTAAGCAGCCAATGCTATAATATTTTGGTGAAAATTCAGTTGTTATTTACTCACCCTCAAGTCATTTCAAACCTGTATGACTTACTTAAACATAAAAGAAAACATTTTGAGTAATGTTGGTGTCCAAACAACATCAGACCCCATTGACTTTCATTGTATGGATAAAAAAATCTGTAAATGCCCTCCTCTTTATGTTTCAAAGAAGAAAGTAAGTCATACAGGCTTGGAACGACATTACTAGTTAATATTGACAGAATGAATATTTTGGGGTGAACCATCACTTTAACATCTTTTTTATAAAACCAAGTCACATTAAAAACTCACTTCTCAACATTTTTAAATGCTTTTTTGTTTGCTTCAAAAATTATTAAAGAACATTAATATGCAATATTCTACCAATATAATGAGTCAATCACAAAGATTAAAAGAACATAGACTGCAATTATAACATTGACATGGAAATCGGCCAATGTTGAGGCATTGCTTCTTGTCATGTGACTTTTCTCTTTTTCACTTTTCAATTCAAACTGCACAAACCAAAAGAAAGAAAGAAAGAAAGATCATGGATAGTGGCCCTACATTTTTAGCAATATATACATCTGGCTGTGCTTGTGAAGCATTTCGTATGTATAATTATGCAAAAAGCCAAGGCAAAAAATCCGCACACCAAATGAAATGCAAAGTTCAAGGTCCTTAGAACAGGAGTTTATTTATTATGTATAATTATCCCATGGTAGAAGTTATTATTTAGTGAGAATGTAAGTGAGATTAGGGTTAGGGTTAGATAGATAGATAGATAGATGGATGGATGGATGGATGGATGGATGGATGGATGGATAGACCGATCTAGCCTCACTTTCATAATTTTAATGATATTTGTTACTGATTTTTAATTTATGTTATTTTGGTTAAAGAGTTAATCAGCAGTGATTAAGGAGATTGTAACCTCAAAGTCCTTTCATAAAAGATGTAATTTAGACACAAAGCTCTACCTGACTATTAGTAAATGAATCCACCCAAAGGACCATTCAATATCTAAAAATTGCTGTCAAAATTACATGTTAGCTCGCCAGCTACAATTAAATAGCACTAAATTAATATGGCTTTGATGATATTTTTAGATGGTCCTCTCCTTCACAGAAGCTGCAGCTCAGGGTCAGAGATTTTCCCCTCGCTTCAATTACCTATTGATGAGAGGACTTCCCTGCTCTGGCACTGCTTTGGAAAAAGTAAGTCTGGTTAGCTTTTAAGATGTCTCAGGAATGACGGCGGGCAGTGGGATCTGAGCAGACGATGCATGCAACAGAAGCTGCCTTTTAATACTCGTCTGATGTTGCTCTCAAATGATTTGGGATTCTTGGATTCTCTGGAATGCGTATGGACTTTGAGTCCTTAGAGTCTCTAAACCGTCTTCTTTTCTTTCATCAGTCTTAGCTTTTTTATTTTTAAATGTCTCCCTTACATTCTCGCTAAATGATAATTGCTACCATGGGATAATTGCCAATACTGTATAGCTCGGTTTTGATAATGAGCAACAAAATATGCCCTGGAGAAACCTAGCGAGTCTGTCTCATGCCACACATGTAGACAATTACTCCACACCCATCTGCCATTAGGCAGCGTTACAGAGAATGTTTTCTACTTAATTAAATCCAAATCTCTCAATAGTGGAGCCTGAATGAAATATAATGTGTCTGTTTGGGTCTGGTTTCTTTCCTGCCTCCTTCTTCTTCACTGGTCGTGATATCAGCTCACACTAATATGAAAAGTTTAAAATAATCAAATTTTAGATTAGTTAAAATATATCAAATGTATTAATTAAATACGTTGCGAATATGTAAACCGTTGAATGCATTAAGTCAAACTGATCAAAATGTGTATAACACACAATATAAACTTTACAGAGACCTCAATGCTGTATGTTTAAAATAATATTAGTAACTTTAAAATGAGCCTTTTATTTTCATCATATTTTTTAATATGCTCCTCTGACCTGATCAAAATCTATGAAGCAGGTAACATAAAAATAAGTTTAAATTCGAAATCACAAAGTCTCATTAAAAACATACTGTAGAAAAATACTATAAAATAACTTTCTTACATTTACTCATGTTTTATATCTGGAGTCTTTAAAAACACACATAGAAATAAATTCTTTTATGAAGGGCATATGAAGCAAGTTGTCAAATTGAAATAATTTTTTTTAGCTATCAAACAGGACTGGTTGTCTCTGATATCCCAAAAAGATTGTGAGGGTTAAACAGATCTGGAACCAGAATGCAATTATCCACCAAATATAACATGATGCTTTAAATCAAAACATGGCTATTTTAAAACTCTCTGAGCATAAAAAAAATATTGCAAATCATTGAGAATTTAAGCCAAGCATCTACTGTACCTCTCATAATAAAACCACACAGAAACTTAACAAAGTGAGGGTCTCAGGTGGGCTTTTACTATGCATCTGCACAAACCACAATCAAGACATGCTGCCCTACAGCAGGCGCTAAGCTTTCCCCGTCCCATTGTCATCCTGGTCTAGTCTCACCCCTGGGAGCATACCGAGGGTCAGAGGTTAACAAGTGGCTCTCGGGTTTGTGTACGGCTGAGAACAGCACGCGTGCTGAGGGAACAGGCCTTGCACAGCTGTGTTTGGAAAGCAGACTTTCAGACTTGAAAACGGCTTTACAACATTTCTCTTGGAGGATTCGGCAAAACCCATACATCAGAATGAATGGGCTCTCTTACTTTTCCTTCATGACATGAGAAAGTCATATTTTTTATGCACAGTATGGATTTGTGCTTGCCTGTTAGTTAGTTTTATAAAATTTCAGAAATTCTTATATATATACGGGTTTGTGTACGGCTGAGAACAGTACGCGTGCTGAGGGAACAGGCCTTGCACAGCTGTGTTTGGAAAGCAGACTTTCAGACTTGAAAACGGCTTTACAACATTTCTCTTGGAGGATTCGGCAAAACCCATACATCAGAATGAATGGGCTCTCTTACTTTTCCTTCATGACATGAGAAAGTCATATTTTTTATGCACAGTATGGATTTGTGCTTGCCTGTTAGTTAGTTTTATAAAATTTCAGAAATTCTTATAGAAAGATGCATAGAAAAGATGTGCACACTCTATTCTGAATTAAATACATTGTGCAAAGAATATCTAGTACATTTCTCAACTTTCGAAGATTTTATGGTGGCTTTCTCAACTGTAACCCTTCTGGGCTTTCAGCTTGTACACACCCACTAACCGAACAGTCAATGTCAAACATTCACTTAGTTGCATTTATATTAGATTTCTCACCCCTGCATTTTGACGCACATCCCAAAAAGCATGCATTACACCGAAAATGACACTCCAGCGCCCGATCTTCCCTACATCGGTTCCTGCACGCAGTCAGGCTTTCCGACGGCTGGCCTAGCCGAATGTTTGTAAACATCAACACATGATTGTTGCCTCTCAAAACGCAGTTCCTTATTATACGCTCTACCGCATGGTCAAAAACAGGGTGAAAACCTCAGGCACTTACCCCAGAAGAAGTTCTGCTGACATGGGGTCACAGAACTAAAGAGGCTGTTGGATGCCATGGTCGCCCAAATTTCGCTTCTTTGCGGTTTTCGGTGACCCTTGATGCCTCTTAGGTTGAAAGCACGTGGCGTGCCAGGGGAAGATGCAAAAAAGGAAAAAACATCCACAAGAAATGCGTTTTTGTATCAACTATTTTCATGACCACAAGTAATGACCAGTTCTGGTTTAGGAAAAAATGCAAAAATCTGTCGCCTTATTGGACAGCACGGAGCCAAGCTCGCTGCAGAGGATCGAAGCGTACTTACTGGTTGGTGCGGTCCTCAAACCTGAAGTTGACCGGCGACAGTTAACCATTTACGCGCCGCCGTGCAAAATCCTGAGCCGAACTTTTCTGCGGTTCTGTGGTTGCTCAGGAGGTGAGCGGAGCCTTCACACAAACCCAAAGAGGCACGAGCCTTTAAAAAATCTTTTTTCTTTCCCTCAGAACACTGTCACTGGAGAAGCAGGGTCACGTGCTCGTGACATCACTGGAGTCATGTGGGCCAACTTTTTTCCTTCCTCTGTTTTCCTTCTTCTGGAGACGCGTGGTTCGCCGGCTCTTCCTGGCACTGGAGAGGGAAGGGGTGGGTGTGATGCTGCTGCTCACCCCTTGTGAGTCATGAGGCTTCAGAGGGGGGCGTGAATGCCGAGCGTCTCCCTCTCCACAGATGCACGCTTGCGCTTCTCTCCCTCCTGCACTCTTTCTAGCTCTCCATCCTTCTCGGTCAGTCGGCGTGCTGCAGCCCGTCTCTGCTGACCCTGAGGTGATGTGAGGAGAGCTGCTTACACCGCGGAGGTGTGCGTCTCTTCTTTCAGTTTCTTATTCATAAAGCCCCAACATATGCCTGGCACCGTGCATCCATCTCGGCATGCGTGTGCATGTGCGAATGAGTTGGCCTCTCTGTTCTCCAAATGAGGGATTCCTGTAAGAGGCGATACATTATTCGGTACCTGACAGCCGGGTGTGTGAAGAAGAGCATGTGACAAACCACTATCACGCTCTGTGACTCACTGGTTTCACACGGCACGCAGACGTTTGCCTGGCAGTGGCTCTGTGATCCTACTCGTAGGTATTTGTTTAAACAGATCAAGAATGCTGTCGTTAGAATGTATCAAAAGTCTGGAATGTATGGAATGTGTCAGATAATTAATTTCAGCGCAAAGTTAACCTCGTTGCACAAAATGATTTTCTTGTTTTCCAGTACAAATATCTAAACATTCTTAAATCAAGATACATTTACTTGAGAAGCAACACATTTAAGATATATTGAAAAATGTACCTAAATTAAGTGAGTTTATACATAAAAGAAGAAAAAAAATATGCCAGTGGGTCAGAAAAATGGCAGATACTTGTTCTTGTTTAAAGCATAAAGTCACTCAAGTAAATTTTTCTTCATTTAAAAATGTTTTGTTATTTTGAAGAAAATCATTTTTTGCAGTGTACAGTACCAGTATGTGGAGCTAAACTTATAGCATAACAATAGCTCAGTTTGTTCAAAACAGTGTCGTTTTTCCATTAACACAGCGGTGTTACGTGACAAAATGAGACATTGCTGGTTTATGCCTCACATTGTTTTGTGCATGCAGCTCAATGAAGCAGTTCCCAAACTCCCTGTGTGGCATTGCATTTTAACTTTTGAAATAAAATAATTAGGTAATTTCTAGTTCAGGTTTAATGCAGTATATACAGACATGTCAGTACCCTTGCAGTGTAGCAAAAAGGTATTATCTGGAGTTTAAGCTTGTAGCTTGGCAAGGTACATTTACAAAGTTACATGATAAACATATAAGGAAATCTGTCTATATAAACAATGGTATTGTGTTGCTTGCATAAAATGATGTGACATATGTACTTGTTGGGGGAAAACATCTATATCACCACAATATACCTTAAAGGACTTTCAACTGAATATTTAAATGCTTCAGAAAGTGAAACGCATTCTACAGTTTGAATAATAGGTTTAATTTATGGTTTGTTTTTGCTATGTTAATTATGAAAGGCATTAAACATTATCCAGGCATACCCAGCGGCTCAAAGCTCATTACCGATTCTTGTGTAAATATTTTTCTCTCTCTTCACACCCACATCACCAATGCATTACACTAATTTAAATATTAGCATTGTCTCTTATAACTGAATGCATCTAAATGTGACAATGTGCTACTTTCTGGTAACACAACAACCCTTATTAATGTCACCTGATGTCATTAAATGTTCATGAAAAAAATTCAGACATACACTACTGTTCAAAAGTTTGGGGTGTGTAAGATTTTTTTTTTTTCTTATGCTCATCAAAGCTGCATTTATTTGATCAAAAATACAGTAAAAAAGGGTAATATTGTGAAATATCTTTACAATTTAAAATAAATGTTTCCTATTTGAATATACTTTTAAATTATTTATTCCTTTTGATGGCAAAGCCAAATTTTTAGCATCAATACTCCAGTCATTTAGTGTCACATGATCCTTTAATCATTCTAATATGCTTAGTTGCTGCTTTAAAAAATATTATTATTAATGTTGAAAACATTTGGGCTATTTAATATTTGTGGAAAGTACATTTTTTACGATACAGGATTTTTTGATAAATAGAAAGCTCAAAGGAACAGCTTTTACTTGAAATAGAAATCTTTTGATTCACAATTATTGCTGAATATTAATATGAATAATAGTATTAATTTCTTAAAAAAAAAAAAAAATCAATCTTTTTTTCAAAATCAATCACAGTTCCCCCCCATTTTACAATAAATATGTATGAATTAATATTCAATTTGTAATTGTATTTACTTTCTTTTTTTTTCAAACTGTTTTCCCCACCAAGTCATTCGAGGCTGTTAATTTTAGATATAATATTTAAAATCTGCAAATGAATACCACATAATGAAGGACCAATTTGGCAGGCAGAATGTTTTCAAAATGTTAAAAATAAATTTGCAATAACACAGATCATATATATATACACACACGTTAAGACTTGGCTCGATATCCTGCCCTTAGCCGTACGAAATGAACAGGCAGGTACAGTGATTTAATTTAACAGGCTACATCTGTAAAACGCCATGCTAGTTTACACTGTGGCCGCTTCTGAATTAACATGCTTTTATAGGAAACAAACACCACTTGCAAGCAGTTCCTGTTGGCAGGAGCTACAAATACAAATATTGAGCATCGTTGAAGATCTACTATATTAAGACGATCCACCGTATTACAGAAGAGAGGGACTCGTGAAATACTGTTCGGCCTCTAGAAAGTGCATGGCACAGCCAAAGAGAGAGAAACTCAATATGTGAAGTAATATTTCCAAAAGGATGTTTATATTTGATGTGAATTGTTCAGTATGGTCTGTAAGGTATAATTTGAATGAAAGTAGATATTTTTCTTTAGCCGTCCAATCGTGAGTCTACATCTTCCAGTGACCTAGAGGGCCTTTCTTGTGGTGTCTGCTCGACTGTTTTTGGAGTTGCAGCTTGGAAGGAAAATAAAAAAAATCGCCCTCAGCGTAGGATGGGGGGGATGTTTAATATCGAATGGCACTCTTACAAGTACAACATGCATTAAAAATAACTCCTAGAGCTGAAATTAAATCAAAATTGTTGAACGAAAGAGTAAGAAAAAAAGTAAAGAAACAGCGAAACAACATTATTTTGCTAAAGAAGATATTTTAGTTTGGTGGCCTAACCACTGCAAACTCAGGCAATTTCGTGCTCTCTGCCATTTTAATCAAGAATCCCATCCAGGATAAACACGAGTCTACCTACACAGCAGTTCAAAACGCCAGAATCTCTGGGGAACATCAGATGATTTCCAAAGTTTCCTTCGCAAGTCTAATTACTTGTTGGAGGGCATTAGGAGCTACCTATGTACATGTATATACATCTATTTTCCTTCTTCGTGATTTATGAATGGCTTTACATGTCCACTGAAGGCATACAGACATTTACAGAACTCTCTAAGCATAAGAATCGCAAAAGAAGTCAAAATGTTAAGACACATACAGATAATTGTGAATTATACTCTTAAAAATAAAGGTGCTTCACGATGCCATTGAAGAACCGTTTTGTCTAAATGGTTCCATAAAGAACCTTTAACATCTGAAGAACCTTTCTGTTTCACAAAAAGGTTCTTTGTGGCGAAAGAAGGTTCTTCAGATTATAAAAAGGTAAGAAAGAGATGGTTCTTTAAAGAACCTTTGACTGAATGGTTCTTTGTGGAACCAAAAATGGTTCTTCTATGGCATCGCTGTGAAGAACCTTTTAAGCAACTTTATTTTTAAGAGTGTAATTATTATGAAAAGACTTAAACAGACAATAGAATGCTTGGGGAAACCTGTTTGAAAACAATTATTGTTTAAAAAAATAAATGTTTCTAATGGGGTAAAATTTACACACATCAGCTTTTTTAACTTTAAAATCAGTAATATTGTGAAATATTATTACAATTTCAAATAACTTTATTTTAACATATTCCTGTGATGCAAAGCTGAATTTTCAGCATCATTACTCCAGTCTTTAGTGTCACATGATCTTCAAGAAACATTTATTATTATTAATGTTGAAAACAGTTATTATTTTATAATATGACTTTTTTTCAGGATTCTTTGATGAATAAAAAGTT